AGTTTATATTATTTGTTTTATTATTATTATTTTTATTGGTTTGTGGTATGTAACTTATTATAGGTAATAAGGAAACTGTGGTGTTTTTTTTCTTCTTCTTTTGGTCTTTGTATGTTATTTGTTTTAGCAAAGTGGAAACGGACGCTGTCTCATATCATACTGTAAAATTTCAAACCTAAAGTACATGGTCGGATTATTCATCAGGTTATATCGCATATATATATAGAAGGGTATAAAGGATCTCGGGTTTAACATCTTTGTTTTTCAGTTTTTTATTTCTTGTCGGATATTTTGGGAATGCATCTTTGGAATCTCGGAGTCGTGTGTTTATTTATTATATTATCTATATTAGCTTCGACAGGGTTTCGGTGCATCTCATTTGACCAGCAACTCGTTTCGATGCTATAAGCCTTCTATCAAAGTTATCGTATTTGTTATCGTGTTTATTTCCTCTTAGCTTACGTTTTATTATTATATCATCTTAAAGTGACACGTTCTTGCTGATGAGATAGTTTTGCTTTGATACACATAATTGTTTCTTCATTTCGATTTATCAAGATCTATTATCATACGGGGGATTCACGTATGTTACACACGCGTGTAAGTTCATTAGATTCACGTTGCTTGCATGTAATTTATTCCGTGGTTATCTAAATGATTGCAACATACTTAAAAGTACATTTATGACATATATCACATGAATTTGCTTTGTGAAGCTTCAGTTTACGTGATCTGGTAAAGTTCTTATAATCACATTTCCCGTAGTTTCACCTTTTCTAACTCGCAACTAGTTACCGTGTCTTTGTCCTTGTTGTTACTAACTCGTAACCAATACTTGTGCACTTCCAAAAATTATTCCTTTTTACTCGTTTCTTCCCGGATTGTTAGGCTAATGTGATTAAATGTTTTGCACTTGCAAGCGGGATCTTTCAGACATTTGCAAGCGGGATCTTTCAGACATTTTCACTGCTCGTAACTTCTCTGGTAGTTATAAACCGTTTAATTAGATAGTGAAATTACAGATTATTGTACACATGCATGTATGATTTGCTCGAAGCCTCTGACATGTCCGTTTCCCATGCAGACTGTATCTAGTTTTGCTGAAGCATGTATATTAAGTGTAGGATATACATGAATCTGTGTTTCCACGACTTTTTTTCGATTATATGAGAATTTATACGAGGATTTTACGTAATACCTGAATGTATCAGTCAGTTGATATGATTATATCAGTGTCTGAACAAGAACCCTTGCTATGCCATTGAACTCATTGCTCTAATCCCAGATTATATTAGTTGGCCACTGGTTTTTATGTGGTACAACAGTATCTGATCATTAACTAAACGGTACGAGGAATATGTTGTTTCTAATGGAGAAGAGAGAAAATATGTAAATATTTATTTATTTATTTATTTAAAAGATTCTTCTGACAATGAAAAGTGAAGCATTTGGTCTCCCATGCTATTTATAATTTCTGACTGTATGTTTTAAGGAGTTAATGCTACTTTGAAATGCTGACTCTATACACCTGTGGATATTCAATTATTGCATCACACCTATGGTTAATAATTACTTTTCATTAATTAACCATGATTGAATTACTTTTTGGGAGTGGTTATGACGTGGCTTTTGATGTGTGCATCTGTGCTTTTCTTGAAATATAGTATTATTATTATTATTATGTAATATGTTTGTGAAGCACTGAAGCTGTAGAATATATTGTTATAAATTGGTATGATTCGGGCCTGCAATTTTTTTGGATGGATTTATAGTTTATTTATTAATTGTTTTGAGATCCCTCAGTAGGTAGCAATCCATACCAAATGAATGTAGCTATATTATTTATTTATTTATTTATTTATTGAAGAAAAATAAAATTCGGTGAAGTAAACTAAGTTTTAGTTGGTAGTCAAGAGTCAAGATTGGCAAATGTGTGGAGACGCATTACCTTTCTTCAAAGTTTCATCAACTTTTAATTTTTATTATAATATTATTTTATGTTAGAGTTTTTTTTTTTTTTTTTTTTTTTTTTTTCATTTCCTTTTAACCTCTATT